CTATATAAAACGCTATATGACGCATTCTCAAAAATAAATGTTTTAGTTTTAACATATCTGTGCATATATTAAAATATCATTACATACCCGTCGTATTGTTCTACGCTTGTAGATTTTATAGTGCAATTCTACAATTCCAGCGTTATTAATTAAAATATCTAATCTGCCATAATGCTTGATCGTTGAGTCAATGATATTTTGTACATCTTTCTCATTAGTTAATTCTCTCGCCACAATGTACGGTTTGCACTGTCCACATTGTTCGGCTACTTTGTTTAAATTATCCTTATTACGTCCAGTTATCGACAATGATGCACCAAGCTAAGCCAGGTGGATAGCAGTCGCAGCTTCAATTCCTGAGCTAGCTCCCGTTATTAGAACAACTTTTCCCGTAAAAGGCATCTGAAACAGATAATATTCATACAATAAGTACTTTACAAAATTCAGTCATGCATTATGTTGCAATAATTGTAATTAGATGAAAATAGGATTATTAAAGCAATTAGTTCTTATTTGGTATACTAATTAAAACTTATTTATGAATCATTGATAGCTAAGCATTACATGACTTGCGTTTACTGTGTTTAAAGTAGATTAAGGAGTATTTACCAACTTTAAAATTTTACTATTTTTGTTTATGCAGAATTTATATATGTAAATTTAACAAATATAATATATATGTACTTACTGTAAGTTTAACAGATATATAAATATGTATATACTTACTGTATTGGCACGACAGTATATCCTTGATAGCAACAGATTTAATAGAATTAGAAGCGAATTCGAATAAAGAATATTATGTATTTTTATTTGTAATACGTAACACACGAATTTATTCTTTAAACCAAATCGTAAATTATATGGTATCAGCACCTCTGGTGAAAAATCATCTCATAATTTCCTAGAAAATTTTAAGAATTTTTTATAATTTTATTTTATGAAAAATTCTGAGAAAAAATTTCTTATTTATTCATATTTTTAAAACATTTTTTAGAAAATTATAAGAAATCTCAGAATAAGAAATCTCAGAATATTTTCCATTTATACGTATGAGAAATTTTTATCAAATTCGTTTTGAATAAAAATATAAATTATCTCCGTATTATTCAGAATATTTATATGAAGAATTTCAGAAAATATTGTATTTTTTTCATATTTTATTACATTGATTTAAATGAGACGATATTTGTAATAAAAGATAAAAATTTTAATAATTTGAAAATTATATATTTTGAAAGAAGTTTTTATATCCATTTTTTTTTATTTCAAAAATTTCTTGACTACATATATGTAAATTTTCAATTTTGAGTATTTTACTTTTTATTTTGTATCTTTTACCCAATGTTATTTAATTTTTATGTATTCTCTTTAATAAATAAAATATCTTTTTCTATAATTCATCAACATTTTACGCATATAAATAATTAACATGGAAAACTAACTAACTTGAAATGTATGAAATTGTATTATTTCTAAAGGCATGTGTCCACGATGCAAGAAATTGGTCCAAGTTCTTGGTCCGAGAAATGTATAGCCAATTAAATTGAAGTTCTTATGGAAAAACAGCAAGTTGATTGGTTACACATTTCTTGAAGCAATCTAACTATTTTGGGCCAAAAACTCGAACCAATTTCTTGCATCGTGGACACGGGCTTTAATATATACAGATCTGCAAAATATGAGAAATAATGAATTTATTCATATATTTTCATATATTTTCATTTCTTTTCTGAATTTTTCTGAAAAGTGTGCCAATTCATATAAAAAATCTTAAAATTTTCTGAAAAAGTTATAAAATTTTTGTAAAAAATCTGAAAATTTTAATGAAAAATTCTGAGAACATTTTTCACCAGGGACAACAGACAAGTCGTAAACTACTCCACCATTTTCACTCATTAGTATTGTAAAATGTATAGTTTCCTATCTCCCTTGATCAGTACTAGAGTACCTCAAGTGAGAGTACAGACAACAGGGTAACGATCGGTGATTGGTCCGTCAAATTGAGGCAAAAGCGGAAGTAGCATGTCCGTGTGCACCAACTGTGTATACCACTGTTTGAAGAGAAATTGTTTTAATTAAAATAATTCTGTGCTTTATATGAGAATAAAATATAAATAAGAAAAGAGGTGAGTAGTGAAAGATTGCATTGGAATTATATATTTTTTTAATGACATAAAAATATTAATTTCTTGTCATTAATGTTTTAACATAACCTAGTTGTTTGTTAACAATTAAAGCTGTCAAGTTAAACAATGCCTGGCTGTGTAGCTGATTATTGCACAAACTCTGCCAAGAAAGGTTTTAAAATGTGCCGTTTTCCTCGAGATCCAAAAAGAAGAAAAATTTGGGCTGAAAGCACAGGACGACAAGACTGGATTCCGTCTAATAATTCAGTGTTATGCGAGGTTAGTAAGCATTTGTTTTTGTTAAATGTAGATGATTATAAAACGAAAATTATAAAACAACGTATATTATTCCAGGCACACTTTGCTGCAGAAATGTGGATGAAGAATGGAAATGGCAATCGTAAATTGAAAAAAGATGCTATTCCAACTATGTTTTGTAAGCTTCAGACTACACAAAAAGGTATACACACATATAAATAAATAAATATATATTAATATAAATAAATATAAAAAGTATATATAAAATATAGTAATATATATAGTATATATAAATTTTATATTTTGTTTACTGTGAATAGAAAACTACTAAACTATTTTTTAATATTTATAACATTAATATTTAAAAAAATATATATAAAATAATAAAAAATTTAATTTAATTCAATTGTAACAATTATTAAAACAAAAATGACAAAATCTATAATTTGTTTACAAAAGAAAATGTCATCGATACCACCACCAGCGTGCAGACCATCGAGCATACCAATCAAAGCGAAACTGATATAGGTCATAATGAAAACTATATCGCCGATGATACTATTAGCAGCGAAGATACGTTATTCGATGAAGAACTTAGCATAGGAAGGATGGAAACTACCGAAAATTCTGATGAGAAGATACAGAGATTATTAGGACTCCTGGAAAAAAGCGAAAGGTTGCGCAAGGATATGAAAAAAAAGCTACAGCGGACGAAAAGGCAAATGAAGCGATTACGCACAGTACGTAATGGAGGTTCGATTCTAGATGCAATAAAGCCTATTTTAAATGAAACACAGATTAAGTTCTTGACTGGGAATATCAAGAAGGTTCCAAAATGGCCAATTGATATTCTCAAAAGGGCTTACAAATTAAGATTTGCATGCGGCAGATGTGGATATGAAGAAGTTCGTAAAACGATGCCTCTTCCCTCAATAAGAACTTTAACAAGAAAATTAGAGAGTTTGCAATTCAATAGTGGCATAAACGACGATGTTCTCAAATTTCTCGCTATAAAAAAGACTCACTTTCGCAATAATGTAGATTTGCATGTTGGTAAAATATTTAGGTATCTATTAAAAAATAAAATTTATTAAAAAATAGTTAATATCCTATTTTTAATTAAACAATTTTCTTTCATTCTATTTATATCTCCTTCCATTTATACAGTATAAAATCATTGTTATATGTACAATTTCAGTTTTACCCTTCAGAGCATATTTGAAAATGCGCGCGCTCTTTAGACACGTTTCCGGTTTTGCCTCATTTATGTTCTGTTGTCCGTACTCTTACTTGAGGTACTCTAATCAGTACTCGCTTACACTGCCAAAACTTGTATTTTTCATTATTTAAATAAGAATAAATTTACATCTTCTTAAAAAATAGCTACAGGTATTATGTTAAATTAATCAAGAATTCGAAGTAAATATAAACTAAGAGTACATATACATCCTAAACAGAGTCAAATCTGTTGAAAAAAATGTTTTATCATCCCAGGGAGAAACGTAAAGTCGAATAGATGTCTAGTTGACGTCTATTCGACTTTACGATCTAAATTAGATTATAGATCTAAAATAAGTTGATTTTTGCATCTCGGTAGACGTCGAAATGGTTTCTATTAGACACATCTATTAGACGTCTTGTAGATGTCTTATAAATGTTGATTAGACGCCTTATATAAAGCTTATATAAAGCTCGTATCAAACCATGCATTAACAATTAAAATTGAAATTTGACTAAACAGAACAAAGAAATTTTAGTCTTCTGTCCTGATTAATTAAATTCCAATCTTCAATCTTTAATACGTAGTCTGATATGGGCTTAACCCAACGGATTGTTAATATATATTAATGAACTGTCAAAATTATAGCCTCGTGTAATGTAATATCAGATTTATTTATATGTAGTACATAAGTACATTGTTTTATTATAATATGCAATATTGTTTTAAGGATCACTGAAACATATACTGAGAAAAAATACAGCATTGCAGGATGCTTGCGCATTTATATCTTTAATATCATTTGACGCATACACTACAATGCT